TTTGTTATAATTATTTCATGTCTTATATACTTTTTAATACGTTATTTTCTAAAATTTTACATTCATAATCTAATTTATCAGTTAATTTATAAGTTAATTTATTCGATATCATTTATGTAAAAAAAAATAGTATTGGTCAAAACATTTAAAAAAATGCAATAATTTTGGGTAGACTTTTGACCTGATTTGCAGGTTCATCTTTGAATTCCTCCATCACCATTCATCTTCGTAGGTTTTCCAAGAAAATAGTGCTTCAAGCCTTCATCCATGGCGGAAAACCTTATATACATACATATATATATATGTATATATATGTGTGTGTGTATTCATTCTTCAAACAGTAATCAAACCTTTAATATATCAATCAATGATGGAGAAACCTTGCTCCTTCTTCTTCATCTTCTTCACCACGTTTCTCTGTATCACCATATCAGTTGCAGAGAGTTGCACCTTCACGCAGGGGTATTCCGTCATCGTCATCAATGATAATATCAAAGAAAAAGTGCAGGTTCACTGTAAATCGAAAGACAMCGATATCGGTTTGAAATCAATCGGACTTAAAGAATCTGTCACCTGGAGTTTCTGTGAGAATATAAAATCTAGTACTCTTTTCTACTGCAATTTTCAGTTGGGGAAAAAACATCAAGTCTTCGATGTGTACAATCGCGACGCCGCACGTTTTTGTAGCAAGGGACCGGATGGCGACCGTAGGCTATGCAAGTGGTACATTAGGTACGACGGGTTTTACATTATCGGGATGGGGGGGAGCCAGGATGTTAAACAGTATGATTGGAAGGTGAATCAAGCACGTTCGAATTCCACTTATAAGGGTTCGAAACGCCGTGAGCCTTAAAAAATAGCGATAATCTTTATAATTGGATTCTTTCGTTGATGCTAATAACTTCACGATCGATTCGTCGATATGGGTTCGATGGCTCGTTTCTTGTTGGTAATAAGGATCCGGATAGATTCACACAAAGAATTCGTCGATGCCTTCAAGTTCGGGAGTTCAAATCCGGGTGCCGTCTCATCATCGAATACAGATTAGCGAGAATCCTTCGGTGTTCAGGCATTGAATCATTATTAGATTGAGATTGAATAGATAATTTACTTTTTTATTAAAAAGTGAAAAAAGAATCATTTTCCCTCTTCTTATAGAGTTGTTCATGGGCGGGATGACCCGTTATACCTATCATATTCGGCCCGTTAGAAAAAACGGGCTTGGATTACCATTATTGAAGAAATAGGTGGGTCTGAACTGACTTGTTAAAATTAATTGACGGAAATAAGCATTGAAAAAAAAATGTTTGGATAGGCTCGTCAGGGCCATTAATATTTTTATAATAATTAACTTTTATAATTGAAATTTACAAATAAAATTGAAATTTCTTAATACTTATCAATTTCTACTTAATTATGATTCATGATAATAACATTACTTTAAAATCTTAAATTTGAAAACATAATTACCTCGATTGATCAATTTCTTATTATCTCATTTAGTCATTTTCTTTATAGATATTTCATATTTAAGATCAAACACCCGTTATGAAAAATGACAACCACAAATATACCAGGATCTAAACAAGAGCATGATGATTGGACGTGGTTCCACTATCGATGTGATAGTGTATCTCCACCAAAGAGATACAAATGCTTGTACAATGATCCTTGGATCCAAGATCAACTGACTTATCTTCAAGTCTTCAACAAAATATTAAGTAGTTGCTAAGGAATATTAAATTATTTTATTTGTGGAATTTATAGGATTTTGAAGTTTTTTTGTGAAAAAAAATGAATCAAACGAGAGAATGAAATTTAGTCAATTGAATTCAATATTCTAATTCTATCAGAATCTCTGAACCAAACGCCCCCTTAGTGTCCATTTGGTTTCCAGAAATTTTTTGGGGGATTTGGATTGAAATTGTTTTGAAATCATTGATATGTTTGGTTTGTAGGATTTAGAATGAAATTGGGTTTCGTTTTTTATAAATAATTTATAAAAATAATTAAATTACATTTTTATTAATCGATTATTACAAAACAAATGTTTTTAACATTTTTTAAAACCTTATTGCATACAATCCTACGAAATCTCGTGAAATCCCGAACACTCCCTAAGTATGTTATATTTTTTCTCTTTTATTTTAAACCTTTCTTATATATATATACATATATATATATATATATATATATATATAAAGAGAGAGAGAGAGAGAGAGAGAGAGAGGAGTGAGTTATTATGCAATCATTTACATTTGTACAACTAATACAACTCAATCTCAACCGTCCGCTTAATTTGATGAGTATGTGATTTCATAAAAGTTTTGATTGTTTCATAATATAAGGTATTAATCATAATTAATGAACGCTACTCATATTTTATAAATATTCAAATTATAATAAATGAACTCTCATTATGTTCATAAATATCTCAATTGACTGGGATGTACAAATTAACATGGTTGCATTTGAAAAATACCCTATACACACACATAGAGTTGGTTTAAAATGAGACCAGTCTGTTTTCATGAGACTCGTGAGACCACTTTTTTACACTTGAAACTTCACAGCGAAACGTTGTGAAGGTAAAAAAAATCTGAACCTTCACAACAAAAACACTGTGAAGTTTCAAGTGTAAAAAAATGGTTTC